ATTTTATTTCATGATTCTTCACTATTGGATGTACTAAGGAGCCCTGCAGTACTTACAGCATTCAGCTGCTAACCAGAAGGTCAGCAGTTGGAATGCACCAGCTGCTTCATGGGAAAAGATGGGGCAGTCAGCTTCCGTGAAGACTGACAGCCTTGGAGACCCCCTGGGACAGTTCCACTCCGTCCTCTAGGGGCGCTGTGGGTCAGAATGGACTCCATGGCAGTGGGTGTGGTTTGGGCTTTGTTTCCATGAAGACTGACAGCCTTGGTGCAATTCCACTCTGTCCTCTAGGGGCGCTGTGAGTCAGAATTGACTCCACAGCAGTGGATGTGATTGGGGCTTTGCTTCTGTGAAGATTGATAGCCTTAGAGACCCTGTAGGGCAGTTCCACTCTGTCCTCTAGGGGCGCTGTGTGTAGACTGCTCCACGGCAGTGGGTGGGTTGGTTTTGGGTTTGCCTGTGCAGGTTTTCAGTGTGATCAGGCCTGGCTTTAGACTCTCTGCTCCATCCTGCCTCCATTTACAAGGGATCCAGGGCCCTTCCAGTGCAGCACGTTTTCCTGTTTGCTCAACCCTGAGGGCTCACGCTCCTGCCATCTGTCTTCCCTGCAGGTGGACCTTGTCTGGGAGGATGCCCTGTTCATGTTTGAGTATTTTAAGCCCAAGACCCTTCCTGAGTTTGACAGTTACAAGACCAGCACCGTGTCTGCCGACCTGGCCAATCTCCTGAAGCGGATTGCCACCATCGTGCCGCACACAGAGAGGCCAACGCTGAGCCTGGACAAAGTGTCCGCATACATCGAGGGGACCTCAGCTGAGGTGGGCCCCCCGTTGCTGGGCACGGGTGTGGGCAGTGGGGCCGGGCTGCATGCGGGTGACCAAGTGGTCCTGGGTTTGTGGCAGTGCTGGCCATACCTGATGTCTCCGTCTGCCTGTGCCTGCAGGTGCCATGCCTCCCGGAAGGGGCTGACCCCTGCCCCGCGGTGGTGAGCGAGCTCTACTACCTCCTGGCCGATTACCACTTCAAAAACAAGGAGCAGTCCAAAGCCATCAAGTTCTACATGCATGATATCTGCGTCTGCCCCGACAGGTCTGTGCAGGATTGCGGCGCAGGATTGCGGCGTGGCTGGGCAGGCGGCTGAGCGACAGGTCCAAGCGGGGTGGGGCGGGTGGCTGGGCAGCAGTGTGGTGGGGTGGGTGGCTGGGCGGCAGGTC